CTTTGCCTGAGGCTATCCGGCAAATGCCTCTGTGCAGGGCGAAAGGCGGGGCGGGTCCCACGGGATCAATGGGGCGGAGGAGGAAGCAGTTATGGCTGCTCTCAGTCCGTCCCCAGGGGCTCTGCCTCTCTGTCCCAGCAACAGCTGCAAACCTCGGAGGGACCGTAGCCAGACAGTCCTGCTTCTCCCATTTGAGTCTGGGTCCCTAGAGACTCCCCCGGATCTGGAGCTCAGAGTCTGAGGATCCCTCCCGATTGAAAGAGACAACCACGCCCTCAGCCACCAGCCCGCGCCGCGCGCACTCCGCACCTTAGTATTTTACTTCAGCACTGCGCCTCCTCTGATTCTCGGCTCCTCCTAGTTGTAGAACTTCCATTCAGCCAGCCTTCCTGTGGTTCTGGATGATGTCCGTTCCGACTTTTAGTTGTATTTTTGAAGTGGTTGTTCGAGGCAGCAAACTCTGGCGTTAACCTATGCCGCCATCTTGGTTTCCTCAAGGCGGGTTTCTTATAAAGAGCATATGGTTGGGTATTTCTTTTTTCACTGAGTGTGACAATTTCGACCCTTTTATTTAGTTTTTATTTTTTTCCCCATGCTTGTCTCCAAGACCCGAAACTGAGAGCCACCAGTCAGTCAGTCAATCACAGTTCACTGGGACTGCTGTAGCACTGGAATGGAACCCGTTAGCCACAGCAAGACTAACAGGTCACGAACAGTGCTTAATTTCTACCCTTTTAAATGATGTGTTTAGTTCATTTATACATAATGTAATTATTAATATTTGGTTTTTATCTGTCTCAACTGTTCTTTGTGTCTGCTTTTTATGCCTTTTACAGGCATACATCAGAGATATTGTGGGTTTGGTTCAAGATTACCACAGTAAAGTGAGTACTGCAATAAGCGAGTCATAATCTTTTTGCTGGTGGAGGGTCTTGTCTTCAATTTGTAAAAACATGCAACATCTATGAAGTGCAATACAGTGAGGCACAATGAAATGAGGTATGCCTGTATTAAATTAATTATTTTTTGGTATTCCATTTTCTCTCCTCTATTGCCTTATTAGCTATTCTTTTATTTTTTAATGTCTTCTCCAAGATTTGTAGTATACATATTTAGCTTAATACTACTATCAAATAATGTTATATCACTTTGTGTATACTGTACGATCCCATAATAGTATAGTTCCACTCCTCCAGTGATGTGTGGTAACAACCACATCTTTAAGGTTAAAAAAAAGGCCCTGATTTGTATCATTTGCCAGTGTCATGGAGTAAGTACTCTCATCATGGGAGATTTCAAGCTACCAAAGTTATGTCAAGGAATTCAGAGTTGGGAAGAGATATACACACTCAGCATTTGTAAACCAACACAAGCTGACTACACTATTCCACTGATTTCCCTCTTTTACCTTTTGTGCTCTTTTTATCATATATTTTACTTCTACATGTTAGAAACTCCGTAATACATATTTATTATTTTTACATCAAGTAATCCTCTAAGGAAATTTAAAAATGAAAAAAGAAATCTTTACTATTTACCCACATGTTTAATGTTTCTGGCTCTCTTCATACCTTTGCGTAGGCTATAATCTTAGGTGTTTTGTGCGCATATTTTTCCAGCATGCTTTCATAGACTGTAGAGTAATTTCTCTCATTTAATTTTTTCTTATAATAACTTTGTATAGTGTTTGACCATGGGACTTTCTGTTGCTCGATTTTAAGTGAAATTTGCTTTCCTGAACTTTTAGAATAAGGCTATTTTTACTTAAAAACATGGTAGCTTGCTTTTTAGGGTTTCTTGATTTTATTCTCTTGTCCACTTTGGTCCGGGGTGGGCAAACTTTTTGACTCGAGGGCCACAATGGGTTCTTAAACTGGACCGGAGGGCCAGAACAAAAGCATGGATGGAGTGTTTGTGTGAACTAATATAAATTCAAAGTAAACATCATTACATAAAAGGGTACGGTCTTTTTTTTTTTTTTTAGTTTTATTCATTTCAAACAGGCCGGATCCGGCCCGCGGGCCGTAGTTTGCCCACGGCTGGCTCGAGACCTTTTTATTTCATCCTTGTTGTCCCTTTCCTTGACAATTTGATTTCACTTCTAAATAGTGTTTCCTGCTTCAGACTGCTCCAGATCCTTTAGTACTTCTTGGGAAAGGTATTTTCACATCAGGTCATAGGTCATCTCCTTGCAGGCTTCCCCCAGAAAGTCACAGGCATGCTCATCCTTTATGCTGGGGGTTCTAGGAACACTATCTCCTGGAGTTTCACCTGCTCAAAAGCCCTCAGGCTCTGTTGTCCAAAGCCTTGGAGAGCCAGGAGAGCCAAACGGAAGTCTTGAGTGACATAGACCTGAGGGCTGAAAACTCTGATCCAACGGGGACCTTTCTCTGGTGCTGGGGAAGAGCTGTCAAGTGCCCTACCTCCACTTCCTTTCAATTCTAAGAACTTGGAAAGAAGACCAGAGCAGATAATTAATGGTTAGCATTCCAACATATTTGAGATATTAATGGATCCCCTTTGAGGATTGATAAAAGCCTGGGGCTCTCACTGTGGTATCAGACACACACACACACACACACACACACACACACACACACACACACTACTTGGTGTATAATTTTTATGTATTCGTATCTCCAGTCCAGTGATTCTCTGCAGCCTTACACCACGTGCCCCTGGGCTGAAAGGGTAGGGACAGAGGCTAGTTAACCTGTTTTTAGCAGATGCTAGCCCATGGGACCAACTGTTGTTAAATTACACATATAGACAAGTGACATATATTTATGTAAAAGACCTGTCAATGGGAACATTTAGAATAAGTAAAACATAAGATAATTCAATTGTAGAAACTAATAGTGGACACCAATTGTCTACAAATCTGTACAGGTCAGAGGTTTATTTTGGAACAGTAAACCAGGAGAAACCAGGTGGAATTTGCTCTTCTCTTCCAGTAGTGAGCAGGGACATTAAACAATGGTGTTTGCTCTGGGGGCAATAGAGTGATCAGTGATCTGTTTGTTTTGGCTTCAGACCACTAGACTCTGCTCAGCTTAACCAGTTGCTACTCATGGGCCCACCTGATGATCTTGGGACTTGGCTTCTTTTGGTGAAAGTAACGGGAAGTGAAATCCCTAAATAATTTTGGAAGAAAATAAGAACGACACTTTCCAGAAACTGTGTCACAGGTTGGTTAAGGACAACTGAACACACTGAGTCCAAACTCCTATGTTCTAGCTTTGCTTGCCTGGCTGGGCACTTTCCCAGTTATATCCTCTCTGTGAAATGAGCTCATTGTAGAAGGTGGTCTTTCAAGGTGTGTTTTGCTGAAGGGCCCATTAGCAATGGGGGGAGCCATAAAGAAATTAGGTGGAGTTACTTCATTATCATTGAATGTGCCATCAGTACTTGGTCCATACCAGGTGTTCTGTAATAATGATAGTCATTTGTATCTATTGGTGACTGCTACATGCCAAGAAGAGCCAGCATTTTAATACATCTTCCAAATGACCCTAGATGGTATGTATTCATATTCCTTTTACTAACGAGAAAACAGAAGCTCAAATAGAGAATTAACTTGTTCAGCATCATGTAGCTTCTAAGTGCCCTAGAATTCAAACCCAGGAGTCTGTGACTCCAATTTCATACCTACTTTATCCCACAGATTGCACATAATATCCAGTACTTGTCCTTAAGAATGGACAGGAAATAAAAGGAGTGCACAGGTAACTGGTACACAGAGAAACAATACTGCTAGGCTCTGTCTGCTCTATTCTCTATGATGCATTGTCTAGGACAGCGGTTCTCAACCTGTGGGTCGCGACCCCTTTGGCAGTCGAACGACCCTTTCACAGGGGTCGCCTAAGACCATCCTGCATATCAGATATTTACATTACGATTCATAACAATAGCAACATTACAGTTATGAAGTAGCAACGAAAATAATTTTATGGTTGGGTCACAACATGAGGAACTGTATTTAAAGGGCCAGAAGGTTGAGAACCACTGGTCTAGGACCTGGTGGACAGAGTGCCTGCAGGGCTTTCTGATGTGGTGTGACCTCATGGGCTGGGCTCACAGTACTGTGTATGCAGGACTTAAATGGGAAGGTATTGGTAATGACACACTAAAAATAAGAAGGATAATGTGCTGGGTATAGAAATAGGAAATTTACTTTAATTGCTGATTTAGTTACCATAATAACCCTAAGAAGTAGGTATCATTTCCATTTACTAGATGGGAAACTGAGAGTTAAGTAACTTGCCTAGTTCACTAAACTACTGAAAGTCCTACCATAAAGAAATGAACATGTAGGAGCAAATGACCTAACTACACTAGTTTAGTGGTGGCCCCAGGCACGGAGAACCAGGGCCACATTTTCCTCTTGTCCTAACCTTTGCAGCTATAATCATGTCTCATGTTTACTTAATGACACTTCTACTACCACTATGTTCCTACTCTGCACTGGGTAAATGGTTTCCAATTACAAATCTGGGAATAAACTCCACTTCTGGGAGCAGAAAATTCTATCTGAAACCTTTTCTTTAGTTTATAATCCAGATTTCTTGACACCCTGGTGTCCTAGCCACATTATACCAGGCTCTCAGAATTCCCCAGCCTTCCTTTTCCATCCCTAGCATTCCACTTTGTGGTCGGGGAGTCAATTGCCAGAGGGTTCTCTGGAGTGAGAACAGAAGCAGCTCCTGGGACAGATATGGCCTATTGCATTTTGCTTGAAATCAACCCTGCCATGGACCTCTAAACTGTATCCCTGGCCCTGAACTCTAACCCCCTTCCCATCTTTGCCAAGCCTGTCCAAGTGTTCTGCAAACAATGTGCCAGAGAAGACCAGCTCTTCCTGCATGCCTACCTTCGATCAGGACTTTGTTCCTTTACACATGAGGGCTTCCAGAGTCTACTCAGCTTCATGGTCAGTGGCCTCTGAAGCTGTTGGCCTATAGGTCAGGTATGGTTGGATTAGATTGAACATTATACTAATGAGGAAAGGGTTTTCTTAGCTTGTTTTGCTTGCAGAATGGATTGCGCTGGCTTTTGAAACAAGGACATATGGCTTCTAGTCTCTCCCAGTAAATTACAGAAGAACTAGAGGCCCGGTCCATGAAAACTGTGCACTCGGGGAGGGAAAGGACCCTCAGCCTGGCCTGCACCCTCTCGCAGTCCGGGAGCTCTTGGGGAATGTCCGACTGAGGACTTAGGCCTGGCGCGCTCCCTGCCGGGCCTAAGCCATCAGTCGGACATCCTTAGTGCTGCCGCAGAGGCGGGAGAAGCTCTCGCCACCGCCACTGTGCTCGCTAGCCGTGAGCCCGCTTCTGGCTGAGTGGCGCTCCCCCTGTGGGAGCACAATGGCCACCAGGGAGCAGCTCCTGCGTTGAGTGGGTTCGGGCCAAAACCGGCTCTCCGACATCCCCTGAGGGGTCCCGAATTGCGAGAGGGCACAGGCCAGGCCAAGGGACGCCACCGATGCATGATCAGTGCCAGGGAGGTACACAAGAGGTTGGCCAGCCTTGGAGGAACTGTGGGAGGGCTCCAGGGCGTGTCCCGCCCATCTAGCTCAGTCCTGATCAGCCGGACCCCAGCAGCCAGCTAACCTACCGGTCAGAGCATCTGCCCTCTGGTGGTCAGTGCACATCATAGCGAGCGGTTGAGCAGCCTTTGCATATCATTAGCATATTATGTTTTTATTATAGAGGATGTTTGAATTGAGGAAAAGGGGCCCAGAGCTTCCTAACATTGAAAGATGCTGACCATGTCTGTCCAGTTATTCCTCATTCTACACATGACTTTGCTATCTGCCTTTGACAGTACCATCTGTGGAGACAGATAAAGACTTCCATTTCATATTCCTCTTCCCTTTCCCCACCTTTCTCACTTTTCTTCCCTTTTTTGTTCTTCCAAAAAATTATAAGAATGGCCAATAAGCATATAAAAAGATGCCCAAGATCACTAATCATTAGAAAAATGCAAATCAACTCTATGAGATACCTTTTCATACTTATTAGGATATCTACTCTTAAAAAAATCAGAAAGTAGTAAGAGTTGAGGATGTGGATAAATTGGAACTCCGCACTGTTGGTGGGAATATAAAATGGGACATCCATTGTGAAAAACAATATGGAAGTTCCTAAAAAAGTTAAACATAGAATTACTGTATGACCCAGAAATACCCCAAAGAACAGAAAACCAGATCTTGAAGATTTATTTATGCACCCATATTTATAGATGATTCACCATACTTAAAATGTTAAAGTAATCTAAGTGTGCATCGACAGATGAACAGATAAGCAAAAACATAATACATACATACAATGGAATATTTATTATTCAGCCTTAAAAATGAAGGAATTACTGACATATACTACAACATGAATGAAACTTGAGGACATTACTGTAAGTGAAGTAAGCCAACCACAAAAAGTCAAATACTGTATGATTCCACTTAAATGAGGTACTTGGAATAATCGAAATCATAGAGCCAGAAAGTAGAGTGGTAGTTGTTAGGGGCTGGAAGTAGGGGGAAACGAGAAGTTATTGTTTACTGGGTATAGAGTTTCAGTTTGGGAAGATGAAAAGAGATCTGGAGATTAATGGTAGTGATGGCCACACAACAATTTGAATGTACTTAATACTACTGACTTATACACTGATTAAAATGGTAAAATGATTAAAATGGTAAATTCTATGTTATGTATATTATGCTAAGTGATATAAGTCAGACAAGAGGACAAATACCATATGACTTAACTTATGTGTGAAATCTAAAAAACAATAAATAAACAAGCAAAACAGAAACAAATTCATAAATACAGAGAACAAATTGGTGGTTGCCAGATAGGATAGGGGTTGGGGGGAATGGATGAAAAAGGTCAAAGGGATTAAGAAGTATAAAGTATCAATTATTAGAATAGTCATGGGGATGTAAAGTAAGCATATAGCCAATAATATTGCAGTAACTATGCATGGTGTCAGATGGGTACTAGATTTATCGGGGTCATCACTTTGTAAATTATGTAAATGTCTAATCACTATTTTGTATATCTGAATCTAATATAATATTGTACGTCAACTGTAATTGAAAAATAAAAAAATAAAAACGGTAGGAGAGAATTATAATCCACTGAATAAAAAAGGAATTCCTGAGTCCATACTAAGAAAAACAAATAAAGGAAATAAATAAATGGAGAAAGAGAAGCACTTGTTTACTTTAAAATACCAATTGATAAATGATATAATTAGGGAATCACTATTTGGCGACTAATATAGTAATA